CCCAGCCTCCCCGGCCACCCACAGCAGGACCCGAGTGCCGAGGAAGACATTATCAGATCCTCCCTAATTTGGCTGCTCTTTTATTGATTTCACCAAACAAAGCAAACATTTGGGCTCCCGGGAGCCGTTCCTGGCTTATCTGTTTGTTGCTGCTGGCTCTGCAGGGACAGCAGATGTGGCCTTGGCGAGAAGGTCCACGAGTGCCCCCGGAGCCCTATATAAGGGACTACGTATGCCCTGAGGGGCTGGGGCTCATCTGTGTCCACTCACCATGAAGATCCTCCTGGTCTTTGCCACCCTCGTGGCAGCCACCAGCAGTGGGCAGCTTTTTGTGGGGTGAGTCCTGCTGGACCAGGGGGTGGTGGGGCACCCTGGTTGGGGACGGGGACCGGGGCAAGAGATGCCCAGTCCCATCCGCTCTGCTTTGGGGTCAACAAGAAGGGTGAAATGCCAGAGGAGGGAAATCCGGCGGCTTTTGCCGTGTGGACACCAGGAAAGATACGGTTTCACTCCAGCTTTGGAGGAGGGTTTGAGCAGGTAACAGGTAGAAATTAAGGGATGCTAAATCCCGAGAGCAACTGACCCAAGATGGGGAAACCTCGCTGCCAGAGGAGGAGAGCATTTCTTCCTTGGCTGGGGGCTGCACCCTTCCCTGGGGTTGCCCAGCCAGGCTGGGATGGAGGCTGTATCAGGAAATATCTAACCTATAGATAGATATACACGGAACATATCAATACGTTAGCTGTTTCCTAACATTTTGGGAGCTTTCATGGTCAAAGGAAGGATGGAGACCACCTCGGGCTCTCCGGCACTTGCTCTTTTTCCCTTCACGGCTGTTCTGAACCTGCATCTTTTGCTCTCAACACCAAACCTCCAACAACTGACGCCCTTTCCAACCCACCAAGTCGGTGTAGACCTTTCACAGCCTCCACCCAGCCCATGATGGGACCACATCAGCACCGGAGGCTCAGTTCCTTTCCCCCGTCCTGTGATTCCTCCTGCATGCACTGATGACTCTGCCTCCCTGCAGGGACCAGGTCCTCCGCATCACAGCCAGCAACGAGGAGCAGATCACCCTGCTCAGGGTGCTGGGAGAGCAGGCAGAGCTGCAGGTGAGCTGCCAGGGCCCTTCGCACCTCCCCTGGTCTTCGAGAGACCCTGGTGACATCCAGGGCTCCCTCCTCCTTTTGGCCTCCCATCCAATTTTCCTTCCGATTTTGAATGCCTGTAATTTATAACTACATAAATGCAATATTTAGCTTGGGGCACCCTGAGCTCAGCCCTCCTGTTTCACGCAAAGCAGGGACACCCCGGCCATGACAGCATCGTTGTACCCAGCTGAGTATTCAGGTCTAAAAAGTCATCGCATTTTTTTTTCTTTTTGGCTTGAATTACAACATGACTCTGCTCCCACTGCATTTTGCCTGGTTGCTTCAGTGGTGGTGGGGTGAATCCTGGTGAACAATTTAAGCAGCGGGAGCAGCAGGAGAGATTTGTTGTGGCAGGGAACAGCAGCTGCACCACAAAGCTGATGTAAGGAGATACATCTATGAAATTAAAGAGCAAAACCAGCACACAGCTACTCCGGTGTCTCATCACATCTGCTCAAATCACAAAAACTCATCATTCAAAGGGATGGCTCCAGCCAACAAGTGTCTTGGGCTTAAACATGTTTCTGTAGAAGATCCACTGAGTGAAGCAAAAGGACCCTGACCCATCCTGGTACCCATGCATATCCCAAAACTTGTCCAAAACCCTTTTTAAACCCTTCAGTGGAAAACTCCTTTCAGTGCCAGGGAGCTCAGCAGATGAGCACCAACAGAGGATCAGGCCAAGCTCTCTCCTCTCCTCCCCACCAGCTTGACTTCTGGCGTCACCCCACCCGCCCCGGTCGCCCAGCTGACCTGCGGGTGCCCTTCCCCAGCCTCCAAGCAGTCAAAATCTTCCTGGAGTCCAACAGCATTTCCTACAGCATCATGATCGAGGACGTGCAGGTAAGGACTGCGGTGGGGAGCAGGATGAGCTCCTGCGGCTCGGTCCCAACAGAGGGTCCAAAAAGTTGGAAACGATGAGGAGACGGAAGGAAAACTCAACCACCTATTCCAACCTATTTCATGGTTTGGTTTTTTTCCCCTCCTAAACAGGAATTACTGGATGAGGAAAAGAAAACCATGATGAAGTCCAGGATAGAGAGAAGCACCAGCATGTTTGATTTTGCCTCCTACCACACAATAGATGAGGTACTTTGCTCTGCAGAGCATTCAACTTCATCTTGCTGGGGTCACGCTCAGCTCATGCCATGGTTGCATCCATGTGGTGACGTTTGTGGGGGCAGGTGAGACATCCCCCCACCCGGACACATTTCTCCTCTTTGGGTGAAGGTTTTAGTTGGGAGACTGGGCATCCCTCCATGTGCAGCATGGCCTCTTCTGGCACCTCACTGTCTCACTGGAAGACATCTTCAACTTCATTTTGGGGGTCAAACTCTGTGCTTGGAGCCCCGTGGGTGGCTGATGGAGGGTGTGCTGGTGTTGGGGGATCTCAGATATTTTTTCCTTCCCCCACTGGTCATTCTGCTTTTGCAAAAGCCTTTGCGATGTGCACCTCCCTGCTCGTACGGAGGTCCAAGCACCTGGTCTTCTCCAGGGAAGCTCTGCATGTTGCATCTGGTGCTGGATACCCTAAAAACCAAAAGGAAAGCCAAGGTGAGCCTCATGACCCAGCAACTCCTCCTTTCAGATCTACAACTGGATGGACACGTTGGTGCACGATCATCCCAGCCTCGTTAGCAAGCTCCAGATTGGGCAGAGCTACGAGAACAGACCCCTGTATGTGCTGAAGGTGAGCACTGCGAGCATCCTCACCTTGCCCAGCCCTGGGAGGGCACAGGGCTGAAATCCCCATTCTCTGTACAGTTCAGCACCGGGGGATCGAATCGTCCGGCCATCTGGCTGGACACGGGCATCCACTCACGGGAATGGATCACCCAAGCCATCGGCATCTGGACGGCCAACAAGGTAATTGCGTGCCCTGGGACCCCAATTCTTGCCCAGGCCCTTTTTTAACACCTCCCTGCAGTGCCGCTCAGTTGCATCCCTTGTCCCTGAGGGGCACCAAGGCAGCTTCTGCTCCCCTTCCCTGCGCAGATCGCTGAGGGGTACGGCCAGGACCCCTCTGTCACTGCCATCCTGGACAGCATGGACATCTTCTTTGAGATCGTCACCAACCCTGATGGCTTTGCCTTCACCCACAGCTCTGTGAGTGCAGGGACACTGCAGGGGGGGAACTTGTCCCAGCACTTGTCTCCAACAACTGTGGCTGGCTATGGTTTTTGGGTGGGAAAGGCTGTTCCTTCCCATGTGGGACGGTGAGTGGGTGGAGGTGGTTTCCTCCCATCCCTGGAAATGCTTGGGCAGGAGGGTGTCATCTGTCGCCCAAGGAGATGGGATTCGCATCCCTGTGATGGTCTCCCCTCCATCTGCTCCTAGAACCGCATGTGGCGCAAGACGAGGTCCATCAACGCCGGCTCCCACTGCATCGGCGTGGACCCCAACCGAAACTGGGATGCCGGCTTTGGAGGTGAGAGCTGGACCTCCAGGTCCACATGCCGGAGATTGCTTGTGCCTCAAAGCACTGAAGCTTCCTGCTAGAGGGGAGAAACCTAGGGGCTAGAAACCCTTTGCTGGGGCAGCCTCTCTGCATGATGCCTCCTCTGCCCCAGGCTCCGGCTCCAGCAGCAACCCCTGCTCTGAGACCTACCGTGGCCCTTACGCCCACTCTGAGAGAGAAGTGAAAGCCATCGTGGACTTCATCCACGGCCACGGGAATGTGAAATCGGTCATCTCCATCCACAGCTACTCCCAGATGCTGCTTTTCCCCTATGGCTACAAGACAGCGCCCACGCCCGACCACCAGGAACTGGTGAGATGGCCCCAAAACATAGACATGGGGTTGTGAGCACCAGCCTTGCTGGAAAAGTCAGGTTGGATCATCCTAGGACCCTCCCTGCTCCTCTTGTTAGATGCAACCTGCACATTGAAGCCCATCACCTGGTTCTTGGAGGGAGGGTGGCTGCATGATATCCTTCCCATCCATCAAAAATTAAGGATGTTTTGGGGAAAAGTAAGCGCAGAGGGGGTGGGAAACCGTGCTCGGCTCTAGACCCTGCTACCCTGAGGTTTCTACTGCCCCAAGGTCTTGGTCCACCAGGTCTCACCACTTTTGGGCTCTCCCTTGCAGAATGAACTGGCTAAAAAGGCAGTGAGCGACTTGGCTGCCGTGTATGGGACGAAATACACCTATGGCACCACCGCGAACACCATCTGTAAGTGTCCCTTCCTCATCCCGCAGCGTTGTGTCCACCGCGAATGCTCAGTGTTGGGATGACATCTCCCTTCCTCTCCCTGTAGACATGGCAGATGGCACCACCATTGACTGGGCCTATGACAACGGGGTGAAATATTCCTTCACGTTTGAGCTGAGGGACACAGGGCGCTATGGCTTCCTCCTGCCCAGCACCCAGATCATCCCCACCGCTACCGAGACCTGGCCGGCACTGCTGGACATCATGGTCCATGTCCTGGAGCATCCGTACTGAACCTGGCACCTCCCATGGCATCCCCTCATCTCAATAAATAATCCTGGAGATTCTTTATGGTTTAAGTTTATTATTTTTTCATGCTAGACTTCAAAAAAACGGTGGAAAAGGATTCCCAGCCCTGCAGGTGTTGATTTCCTGCCTTGTGGCTTTGGTCCTACAAGTCCCCATGCTTTGGGGCCAACAGCCTTGAAGGACCTGGCAGAAGATGGGTGGTTTTTGGGCAGCCAAACCCAAATTCGTGGGTTTTTGGGCAGCATTGCTCCATTGTCCCTTTGCTGGGGGGGGGTCACCAGGCACCCTCAGGGCCATCACAGGGTGCAAAGTGCTTTCAGGCATTTGCTATTTTATTTTTGCCACGTGGGATGACTGTCACCTGCTCTGACCTCTGTCCTGTGATGAACTTTAAAACAATTTCCCTACCGCCACCACCACAGCCACGGTTTAGGTATCCAGCTCACTGAGTCCTCTGTGCAAAAATCTGCGTCTCACACTTCCTTGACCCAAATTTGTCCTTTTCCTCCCTGCAGCTCCGAGCCGCAGCCAGCACTATGGGCGGTGGGATTTTGGTACCTCCTGGCCTCTCGTGGGTGACTCACCAACAGCCCTGGCGGGTTTCTGGGACCGGTTTGGCTGGGACTGGGAGTGCTGTGGAGGGGGAACGACAGGGCTGCGGTGCTCAACCTTGGCCGGTGCCAGCCAGAGCCTTCCCACGGCCCTGGGAAAGGGGACAGCTGGCGGGGGCGGGCTGGGGGCCACCGTTCTGATGGGATTTAAGAGGTCTCGGTGTGCCGTCAGTTCGCGGGCGGAGCTCGTTGCGCTG